CTCCTCCAAAGAGTTCTATGACTGTTGGGAGCTGTGGGCAACCGCTGAGTATTGGTTGCCCAGCTCAGCATAGCTGAGGACAAGCTGCCTTGCATTGGTGTAGGTGCTTGCTCTTGCGTAAGGGTGATTTGAAAAGCCCTGATCTACCATTGAGTCTAACAGCTAAAAGAGATGTAATTTAGGGCTTTCATCTCCAGATCAGTGGTGATGGAATCAAATATTTGTGTGAATATTTGAATTGAATATCCACACTGCTAAGGCCCTCTGTATAGGGGGTCAGATATGGTATGGTACTCAGTGTATCTGGCAGAACTGAGGCGAGTCAGAGAAGCACAGTTTAGGCTGGTTTGGGTACCACCAATTAGGCTCATCTTAAATGTAACTTCTTTTAAAACTTATCCCAGACACATAAGGTGCTGGGGGCATGAAAATCTTAATAGCTTAAAACCATAAAATATAATAAATATATATTTAAATTAATACTATTATAATTTTCTCTTGGGATAAGTCTTTATTCTGTTTCAATTTACAGTAAAAATTTACAGCTGAATCATAAGCCCTCAAAGATGGGATTTGTCAGTGGAAATTTTTAGACAGATTTAAATATATTGGTGACTAATGAGGGATGACAAAAGTAAAAGATCTGGCCTCTGTGCAAGCCAGTTTTGGAGGATTTTTTACAGCGTTGCGTGGGGTTACACACTATGGAAATCAGAATTAATTTTTTTACTCAGAAAAGTTTATAGTCTTCTAATGAAGGATCGTTGTGTAATGTCCTGGAAAAGTTCCCTCAGTTTTCCTAACTAGAGCTTTAGACAAATAAAATACGTCCTCACAGAATGAATTTCAGTTTTATACAACAACCACCTGAAAGTTTTGTGAGGTACCTCATCAGACATAAACAGAATTAACTTGGTTGAGACATCCAGCTTTGTATGGTTAAATTGGGGTTAAAATATATGGATGTAGACTTTTACTAAGATGCAGATACTTAGCAGGCTTAATTCCAAATGGTGGACCAGTTTTTGAGATCCTTGAGATGCTTGGCTGAAGTTTTGAAATCTTTCAAAAATATGTACTTTTATTAAGTTTTCTTTTGTAAACTGCACCAACCAGGTACCAATCCATGTACAGATTATGTCATACTACTGGATCGATCTTATTAAAACATTTTTAAATTTATATTGATAACAAAGTAACAAGTGAGGGAAAAGCTGAGTCACTCATACAAGGGCAATTTGATTCATATTCGGACTCAGGTAAAACTGGTGTCAATATCTCATGTAGAAGCTTGAAGTTTTTGTGCCCCAAGTGCAGAGCATGAAGGAAGGAAGTACTGGTAGAAGAACAGGGATTCTGGGTCAGTAAAGGGAGTGCTTTAGGAGACATCTAGTGGGAGAGAAAAAACTGTCAGTATGTGATGACCAACTAATTAGTAAATGCATTGTAACAAATTAGTGGAAATGGGATCAACTAAACTCAGGCAGTTACAACAATGTCCAACATACTTTACAGAAGCACTTATGCAACCCTTCCACCTACTGTTAGAGAAGTGGCTAATTTTACATGCATGTGTGACAGTATAATCTTATTTTCTTTTGGATTCACCAGTCATGATTGGTATTCTGATTATGCAGTGCATGCCAGGCCGTATAAGTAGTATTGTTGCTTTACAGGAGGTAATTTTGGTGGTGAAAACAGTGATTTGTCTGACAGAAACTGTAGGCTGTTCCAGGGTCTTGAGTTTATAAGGCATTTTGAAAAGTTTTGTAATAGATTTGCATTTGCAACCAAATACTAAGCAAACTAGCATTTTCTGTAAATTAGAAACCCTGATTTTAGAGCACATCCCACTAGTAAGGCTGTATCTTCCTAATGTATCTTCCTAACGATTAGGACAAATATTTTTTACTTCATATCGCATACTTGCTGACCCACCCCTTAGCTCTCAAGCAAAGTCACAAGACTGATACACTGTAAGCCTCTTATTACTGAAATTGCTCTTATTACCCACAATATCTAAACTTTATTACTGACAATGATGGTTTTCAAATATCCTTGGGAATTTAGAGAATTCCACAGTTCAGAAATGCACCAGCCTTGCCAGCACTGAATGTCATAAGTAAATAGGCAGCAGAAGAAATTCTAACTTCCAAACAGTCCAGAAGCCAAACAAAATATTATGGGCAGAAAAAAAAAATCCCCAAATCCAAACATAATTATACAGCTGGAGTTCAGGTTGTTTGGACTTGGAATGAAACAGCTTGCCCAATCCTATCAGGGGATCTTGACAGTTCCAAACCCACGTAGGCCTCCCATTTACTATTTCTATTCTATACCAACCTGCTATTTTCTGCTCAACTGGTAAGCAAAAGTTACTTTAAAATTTAGTTTTTAGTCTGTACTTATCGTCAACTGTTAGACAACAATAACAGTCAGAAGAGTGTGCTAGTCCATCTGCCTTCCAGGCAATCCCTCCAGGAGAAATTTTCTTTATCTAGGTGTATATGTTAGTCTGTTATAAGGACCATAAGGTGTATATACAACCAGCCACTAGAAGAACTATTAGACTCTGAAGCCTGGCTTTGTGCAGCTTTTACCATTGAGACAAGTCTTTTGTGAAAAAGATTCTGTTTCTCATGATGCTGGATTCCATAAATACACTGACTCAGTTTTTTCAATTAGTCTGAAAGAGACTGGAAAGGACACCATCCATTAAAACCAGGCCTGGAATTAACAACAGTCACTGATGCCTATAAGGAGACCAGTATTACAGGGGGGGACAGAAAGATCTCTCTGTTACTAAAGTGGCCTGACACAACTCATGATAAAATCACATTTTCAAATGCTAATGTGTTCATCATACTTCATCTGTTTGGACTGAAATTTTCCATACTCACTGACTGCCTCAGGCTAAATTTCTTTAGGGAAATTTCAACAAAAATAATTTAGCTAAAGAAATTTCCTCTCAACTGGCTGAGCTTGGACTCTTTCCAACTACTAGAAATAAACCAGCTCCTTCCACTCATGCAAGGAAAGATTCATGCAGTATTACACTTTTCCTTGGTAATACTCAACAAGCTCCTTATTTGTTGAAAGTAAACATAACGCTTGTGACTGTAATAAGGAGGGATGATTTTACATCACTAAGATTTTGACCACAGGTCTTTGTAAGAAGCTGAAGATTGGTACTACCAGTTCTGTGGAAGTGGAGGGAATAGAATGCTTGATTATTTATGTTTTGTTTAATTTTCAAAGTAATGTAATAAGCATTGATCTACAGATATGATTGTATTTTGCCTGTCCACAAGGAAAAACTGTTTGATTTCAGTCTGGCATGGACTGATGTATAACTTTGATGTATTGGCTAGAGATATTTCTAAGAGAATTACATATTAAAAAATAGTTAAATTTTTATTTTTGTATTAATTGATCTCTGCCACCTGATTCGTAAAGATATGCAACCAGTAAATGTGGCTTTGTTCTATTTTATCTTGCACCTCTAGTAAAAATTTAAACATCTCTCTGACATTAGCCTGCTAGAAGAAATAAAAGTGAGAATCTTCCATACTATTAAAATGTGTCTTCTTTCATGTGCATCTTCTACAAACATTCACAGCTCCTGTGATGGTGATACCACTTAACCCTATTTTTAAACCTCATTAACCTCTTTCTTGATGCTTGTGAAATGCGATTTGTTAGCTACTCCACTCTTTAAATATTTCTCTTCTGTTAAGCTAAAAGCAAAACAAAATAAAAGCAGGATATAAAGACCTGGGAAACATCTCATCAGTGATGTGCTATTTGTCTTTCAGTAGAGTAAGCATACAATATGGACCTCCAGATTTGCTGTTAACTTGAGAACCACTGATATCCTCAATACCAATTCTTTGTCTCTTTTGTTTCAGATAAATATAATTTCATAGATCTTCAGTTCAAACTTACCATTAAAAGATAAACATGAAATGAGGCTATGAGTTCTAATGAAGAGCCACAGGATTTAAATCTAATAATCCAATCCACTGACACTAATGGATAATTTTCTCACATTCAGAGTAGGTGGTTTCTTCCTGAAATAAGCCATCCTTAGTACTTGTTTTATTCCTCAACCTCCTTGCATTTCTCACTGCATGTTTAGAGTCCTACACCAAAGACTCTATGCACACTGACTTTTATTCATTTAGGTTTTCAATGAAAAAGAAAAGGTGGAATATTAGTCTGGGCAAATGGATTTTTGAAGCTCAACAGAATTCAAACTTCTCTATAAAGAAAATAAGATATCACCTAAACAATATAAAATATTGTCAGACATGCATAGCTACCTGCGGTTTGACCGCATGAATTTTTCAGCTATTTTATCCACCAACTTCTATCATGAGAAAATCCCAATTTCTAGAGTGACCTGACAACAGTTAAATTTTAAACCAGACTTTTCCTTTAAATCTATCTGTCTTTTTTATTTAAATATTTTGAAACGTGAAGCTCTACAAAGGTAGCTGTTTATTTGCATGAACATTTTTCCTAGGTAAGTGATCATTCAGGTCTCCTGATATCATTGTGAAAACAGGATTTTATTAAACGGCTCTGAAGAGAACTGAATGGCAGATATGCAGCTGCTAGATTTATGGACCTGCTGGATCAGGAGTACTAATTTTTCCTAGTGTTAATATGTTTGTGTGATGTCCTGAAACATGGCTGAAGTCTGTAGGCTGTACCTCATGCTTTAATAGAAGAGCTCATGATGAATATAGATTCAAATACCCTTAATACTTTGCAGATGCTGTGAACACCAATTACAGAACACTGACTGCAGTGAAGGGGTTAATGATTAATTAAGTATGATGATATGAATTAAGTATCAGCAGGGTCTAGGGTAATTGATGTCAGGTGAATGGGAAACTCCCCAGGATAATGTCAGTGCCAGAGGGAGTGGTGATTAGTGGGGATAAATGCTGGTGTGATCTGCATCTGATGAAGGCAGAGTTGAAATGTTTGTGGGACTGGGCCCAGCTGAGAATAATAAAGGCTTTTCTGTTCCCAACTGAGAATAAAGGAGATTTTGAATCAAAATATGTAAATACAGGTAGAACCCTTCCTGTCTTTAAAAAATGCAGCAAGACCTATGCTTTTAATACTTATTTGTATAAAGCTCTAGAAAGTAATTATAAAAGTTCATTGTGAGCCATGTAATCCTTAATTTTAAGTAGTTTCAAAGAAAGAAGAAAATTGAGGTCTGTTATTTTATTCTGTTCATTACGAAGAACAATACAGAAGAGTCTTCAAAGTGCAGATGAAGATTTTGCTGTGTTTCCACTTACTACATTTGCAAATTATAAAATAAATATTCTGGTACAACTTCATAAATCTCTTTGAGAAAGCCAGATGGAAAGCGGTGGTAAGTGTTGTTTTTATTTAGTTTTGGATAACTAGAGTTATAACTTCCTATTGTTATTGTATGGGCATATGTAAGAGGGGTTTCTTCAGTCAGCTCTAGATAATTTTAATTCATTTCCAGAAAAAAAAGTCTATTGTGTGTCTTGTAAAATGCAGTACAGAATTTGTAGTGCATAATCACTTAATTAAAGATTGTCTCATAATGCATGTACTTTAATGAGATGAATTAAGGTTGTGCAAGAAAGCTCAATTGTTCTGTTACCTAGATTAGATATGCTTAAAAATGTTCTTTATTAAGTAACCTGATACAGTATTCTACACAGAAAATTGTATATCTTGTACCATTATTTGACTTTAAAATCTCTTTCCCTCTATGTACCTACAAGGGCCACATTAATGGTTCTTACTTGTTTGCTGTAGGCAAATCATATGAACTTGCAATGTAAATCTGGGCCATATCAGTCTAGTTGACATGCCGAACAAGAAAAACAGAGGAATTAAGAATTTCCTGGTGTGTCAATAAAGGTTTGATATACATTAATTTGCAGAAATCTTACCATGGTCTGTGGATAATACAGCCTAAACACAGGTCGCAATGAAGGAAAGTTAATTTTTGCTCCATGACTTTACAATCATAGTTTGAGCATGATTGTTGAATGGCTGGGTAGTTCATTATCTGTACATACTGTATATGCTGTCTATGCACTACTTCTGCATTATATAGGAAGATATCTTTAAATCCAAAATGACAGACATGGTAAAATAATGGTGAATCTGTTCATGGAGCTACATTAGCAGAGCTTGTTCTAAAAGTACAAGCTATATATATGAGGGTGGATTATTGGTAATTATTATTATCCAATTACTCTGGATAGTGTGATAAGTGTAAAATATACAATTAATAATTATTTCTTATGTTTTCAGATTGCCATTCTTAATATTTTACATATATAACTTCTATAGATAAAATTAAGCAAATTAATGTTATGAGGGAATTAATTTATGGACTGTGCAAAATTCACAGTTATACATATTTTGTGAAAGATGTAATAATATGAGAAATGTTTGTTTCACTTTCCAGCATATTAGCTACATAACCCTCAAATAAAAATGCAGACTTTGTCTGATTAGGAATTTTTACATACCCTTTAGTTCACAAGGAATAGCATTTAGTCATATATACAGTACTATAGATGAAGTAAGTTCGCTTTAATTATAGGTGTAGATTCTGCAGTGATGCCAAAATTTGTTACTGAATTAATCTCTTGCTTTTCTGCTTAGAGTTCTTAAAGAGATTTATGCAACAGAGTGAGTAACATTCTCCATTCCTTTACAGCAGGGAAACTTGAGGAAAAGATTGCTTAAAGAATCCAATTCTTTGATGTATTTTATTTAACAGATATTTCATAGAGGTCAGCTGGAACTCCTATCGACCTCCATGGAGCAACATTTATGCCAACACAGAGCAGTTGGTGCTTTGGAGAGCTAGAAAGCCTGGTCAGTAATATAAAGACAGGTCTTGTACTTTAAATCCCAAATGTTAAAACAAGAAGAAATATTTGTTTTTCTGACTCTTTCTCCCTGACTGTGAACACATAACTGTTATGAACTCAGTTTTCTGGATTCTGGGACTGCTCTGAAATTGGGGTCACTTGGCTCTCAATGCAGCACTCCACAGCTGCACCACGAGTTCACCAGGCAGCCCTCTCCAGCAGTGTTTATTATACTTGTGTTTGCAGCGTATCTTGTTGAGTAGTGCATGCACCCTCACTGTTGGTAAATTCTGTGTAGATCACCCCTTTTAATGAGTTCATTAGAACTGTCATTATCTAATTTTCCTAGAAAAACAAGGGGGAAAAATATCTGAAACTGGACATCTGACTGTATAGATGCTCCCCTGCTGCTGGCAGTAAACTGCAGGAAATATGGGACAATCCTTGGGAGAGAACAAGAGGTGACTGAAGGTGCAGCCATGCAGCTAACACACTGAGTGGGCATTCCAGCAGGCCGGATAAGATTTATTTATGTTGTGACTATGTGTAAAATGGCCTGGGCACTTTCCAAATATAAGAGAAAAAACAATCCTTGCACCGAAGGACTGGAGCATGAGAGGACAGATAGGCATGTAGTGAAGGCTGTTCGAGGGCAGAGCAAAGAAACCAGAGGATAAAGCTGAAGTCAGAAATAACTGAAAGTTTCTGAAGTTGCTTGATTTATTTTATGTCAATACTGGAAGCCATACTAATACTAGTACTGTCAATACTATTCCAATCCCCTATCTCTTTTACAAGCATCTTCACTGTTTACCTACTAAGATCCCTGATGCTCTCCCTCTCACCAGGTAAATAAACTTTTCAGTCAAAAGATAAGAAGTAATGTGTCCCTGAGCTATAAATACATTATAATCTGCAGTGTTGGGGGTTTGGGTAATTTACAACTATGCAGAACTTGCCAGTAAATAAATCTTGTGCAGCAAAAGTGTACCCCATGATCATAATCCTGATGACTGGAGACAGTCTTCAAAATACAAGGGTAAACTGAAAATGTCATTGCAGCATGATGTCGTGAGAAGTTTGAAATTCTCTGTTTGTTTTCCTGGTGCCCTAGGGAGCACAGAGCAATACAGCCTTCAAGTGTTCAGCAGAGTCAAAACACAATAACAATATAATTTGTGATAGGGATGTGGAGAAACAAAAGCATCACATATTGATTGGAATGCCTGACAAGCTAAGTGCCAGCTGAAGTCTGTAATAAATATCACTGATGCTATTTCTAACCCCTTAGAAAGCAGCCATGCGAAGTGTTTTGGTCAGGGCTAGACTGTCTGGATAAATCCTGGGATTAAATTCTTGTATTTCTAACAGTGGACAATACTAGGTAGGTACTTCAAAACCAATAAGGGAATGTTTTGTATAGACATACATTTGAAACTTTATTTTACAGCTGCATGATTCCAGATAAAATTTGCTGCTGGAGCCACCAGGAAAGGTAGGGCAGTGACACAGCCATGAGCCTGTAGCCATTGGTCCTGCAGGGATGCTCATAGGTCACCATGTGTACTTAAGGGAAGAATCCTAACAGGGGCAACGGCGCTCTGTCAGGAGATGCTTCTGAAGACAAAGGACTGGTTTGGTCTTGCCCCTTGGATTTAGGTGTCTAACCTTGCAGACTGCCAGAGCTCACTTTCTCTCTCATTCCAGTTTCTTGGCTTCCAGTGCTTTCCTCAGAACAGCTGGCCTATTTTTAGTAAGTGGAGGTATAGCCAAACCTGTTCTTCAAAGCACAGCCCTAAGAGCCTTTTCAGACACTTTCTAAGGTACCAGAACTTCAGACACTTTAGGAGTTCTGACCATTAGTGAATGGTTGCTTGCAGGTATTGAGAGATACAAGTTTGGCTTTAATTTCCTAAATCCCATCAATATCAAACATTTTTTATGGCTTTGAACCTCAATCTGGAATATGGCTACAGAAGAACTTGGTTGGAATCACTTCTGCATCAGGTTGCTTGGATGTCTTTTTACAGTTTAATGAGATAAAAAGTGAGCAAAATCCCTACCGGAAACAAAACGGTTGGTTGGTGGAAGAAAGCACAGACCTGTAAGCTGAACAAGGCTGGAAGGAAGAAGCGGGACAAAAAGACAGCTTAGAAGAGATGGAAGGAGATAGTGATCCTGGAAAGAAGGAACTGAGCTGGGGTAGAAAGCTGAAAGTTGTACTTCTTTGGGGTTTGTGTGTATGTGTATGCATAATGTTCAGGGGAAAGGCAGAGAAGGATGAATGATAAGACTGGAGTATGTATATTGGGGATGTTAATTTTATTTTCTCATCTTTTACCGAGACAGAGATCATATCAGAAAATTGATGAAGTTAATTTGCATGACACAGAAAGACATTTAGGCAAAAGACTGATAAAATAGAATAGGAAAACATAGTAGTATGGCTATGGCTTCATAGAAGACAATATGTGCTGTGTCTCATTTGTCCCCTATAACATCCATCTTGACCCAATAGGGCATATTTCTCAGTCCATGCAACCTAAATAAGAGAAACCTAAATCAATCAGTTGAAACTTTGAAGATCAACATTAAGCAGTGTCACATTAATTTAAATCAGTTTTCAGAGTAAAAATTGGTTTTAAAAGATATCAATCACAGAACTTGGCTGAAGAAGAAGGTTCTTTGGTATTCTTGATCTAAGGTGAAGTCCTCACCTGGTAGTGACAGAGGTGTGAGTCTCAACGTTTTATACTTTCTTCAAGCAAACAGGATATTTTCCCAGGATTCTGCAACCCAGGTTGGGTGATGTCATGAAAAAATTAACATGTTCTGAACTCCTCATTCATCAAAATAAATGTTCTGGCTGAGTCTGAGTGCTGATATATTTTATTGCAAAGATTCCAGATAAGGCTTTGAAATGTATTTCCAAGCAAATTCCTCCTGACAGGTTTTAGGTTGAGGTCTTCTCAGAGCTCTCTGCAAACATTTCTCCAGGTGTAAAGGCCTATACATAGAGCAGAACATCTGTTTGCATGAGATTTCAGTGTTGTGTGCTACTGTGGCAGTCTAAGGTGCTAAGGAGATGATAGAAGGATTTCAGATCTATAATGGTGCAAGAACAAGAAATTAGTTTCTTCGGACATTGGATGAAGGTTTCAAGTGGGACTGTAAATCCCAAACTGGGAATCCCTTATATCCTGAAAAGAGGCTAATGTTTAAAAGACTGGGAACTGGGCACAGTAAGACCAGAAAATTATTGCGTGCACTCAAGAATCATTTCTAAAATAACAAAGAGCTTACATTTCTTTGCGAATGCAAGAAAAGTCAACCACCACTGAAATGCAAAACAATGAAAGTTATTACAGGACCAAAACTTCATGCATTTACAATAATAGTTAGCTCACTTCTCACTTAAGAAAACTGACAGTGAAGAAAGTACTCTTTCATGACTGCCAATAACTCAAAAAATGGGAAGATTTGTGTTTTCTTACTACACAACCTAAAAGAATTGAGTTATTATGTACTCAACTTTCAAGATGTCAAGATAATTGTGTAAAAATATTTGAAAATTTAAATAATTTTTATTTTTCTTCATATGATATAGGTTGCTCCATATAATATAAATGGTAATTTCAAGGGATGCACTTTTGTTTCTGGAGGTGAAAAGGAACATTTGACAAGAGCTAAGTATGTAGTAGATGAGAAACTGTAATATAGGTAGATCTTTATTTGATCACCAATAGATTTTGTAACATAAGTTTTCAATTACCTAATTTTTTCCCCTTTAGTATAATAGTGTTAGAATTTCAGAAGTGATTAAGCTTTTTTCAGTCAGGCACATTTATTAATTCTGGGAAATAACTATACTCAGAAGTTGCATTGATTTAAACTGGAAATGTCTTAAAATATTTTTGAGCTATTAGGAATGGCTTTGGACTTTAGGTGAATACGAATCAGTTAAACCTCTCTCAAATTTTAAATAATCAAAATATTAAGGATGATTCAACAACTGCCTAGCACTTACATTGCCATGACAATTCTCACAAAAAGTTGCTATTGTATAGTTCTAACAATGTGACCTAATTTCTAAGGAAGTTTTATGCCATAAAGTGTTCAATGAGAAAAGCTTTCAGCAAAAAAAATAGATGATTTTTTTTTGTACATAAATATAACTGAACAAAATGCACAGTATAGTGGGTGGGGGAAATGAAAAAGGGTGTTTTTCAGTATTATGTATTAGTTCTTAATTGCCTGTTATCTCACTCTGATTTCAGCACACAGAAATATCTTAATATCTTTCAGTTAACTTCCCCTAAAAAATATAGTGAATTTGTAGAAAATTTTAACTGTTTCTGAAAGCTGAAGTTTATTGTATGAGGAATATTGTATATCAAAGTTTTCATTTTATTAGTTGTGAGTGCTTCTGGATCTTGAATTAGAAAATGGTATAGTATTCTAGCATTGATTTTGGTTCTTTCTGTTTCTTAATGTGTATGAGGTATTATATCTACTCTTACCCCAGATGAATAGTGAAAATAATTCCTTCCACAGCTTCGACAGATTGCAATAACCTCCTACGTAATATTCTGATATGGCAGAGGTTCAAATGACAATTATTTCACTTTTAGTTGTTAAAGATTTTATAAATTACTTAGAAAGAATTTAGAAAGTACTTGAGTTCATTATACGGGTACTAAGTACCAGTTAATAAATAACTTAAACCGGTGGGAATACTTCCCCCCTACCTCCACTTGGCTTCACGGGCAGATATAGCTGTTAAAACTGCATAGAACAGCCAGTGTTGTCATATATACTCAATGTTTCACCTTTTCTTTCAATAACATGAACATTATTTAAACCATGAACATTATTTAAACACAAGAGCAAATTCAAAGCTAGACCTGACTACACTGACTTGAAAATATTTTGGAATTAAAACAATATAAATAAGTTCCGCCAGCTTTTAAGGATATATTTTATAAGTTAAAAATGTGTCTGTCTTAAAAAATTAGGGTACCATAATCATACTAAGCTTTCGCAATCATATTAAATTTCTTCATCAAATTAAGAAACTTTCATTATATTTCTTCAGAGGTGACTACAAGAACTGAGGGGTTGATGAACCAAACATTGACAAAACAGCAGAATAGAAACTGTAAAAAGCTGGTCTTTATCTAGAACAACTTTTAAAGGAGGAGTCATTTGCTATAATGAAAGAATGGGTTTGTTAAAAAAATTTACTTTTATTTAACAAGTATTATAGTGAAGAAATACGCTTGTTAGTACTTACCTGTACAAGTCTTTCTGAGATTTTAAAGCTAAAATAATTTCCCAGAGGACTGTGTTTGACTTAAACCAATCTTCCTTATTTTGAAGATGGTTCTATTACTCCTCCAGTTTTAGACCTCACAAGGAGCTATTACACAATGTGCATATGTGGAACAGTTGTATTTGCCAAAGCTGTCTACCTAGAGTGACTGAATGTGGCTGTTTTTTGCAGGTACCAATTTCACTGAGAGAAGAAAAAGGAAAGGAAAGCTTTCTGTTATCCAAAGTGGCTGTATGAATTGCAGAACTGTTGCTGTGAAACTGAAAGCTCAGTGTTCACTTCTGAGAGATGGACGTTGGAGGGACTTTGTATAATTTACTATATCTAGATCCCAATTACTGTCATCGGATTGTTTTAGAAAAAAATAGAATTTCATAAATACAGAGGATAGGTTTATAGAGGCTCCATAGCATCATTGAATGCTAATGATAGTGAACGAATACCATTGAAAATATTTGCTATGGTCTACGTGTTGGTTTAAGCAAACAATGGGGAAAAAACAGTTCTCCAGACATCACTTCTAAGAACCTTTCTGATCCTTACATGGGAGCATAGAGCAAACAGCTTTCATCTGTTGTAGGCTGAACTACTGTAGAAACTCAAAGCGGTATGGCAACATCAGTATGGCACTAGACATGCCCATTTGCAGGTAGCCTGAATGAACTGCTGCTCTAGCACAACCATGCAATAACCCAGTTCCAGTTTAGCACATGCACCATGTTGTGCAGAATGGGAGTGCACCAGCTCTCATGGTGCTGGCTCCCTTCTTTCTTTCTTGTGATTTTGGGTGCTGCTCAGACATGTCCTTTCCTGATGAATCTGTATCACAGCGGGATTGCTGGCTCTGTCCCCCAACCATTTAAGTGCTGGCCTTCTCCCAGCCCTCCTAGAGATGCTGACAGCCCCAGTGAAGTGGTGGTATGCAACCCTGCCACCACAGAGCTGTTTGAAAGCAGGGGGCACAATGAATTTCTTATAACACATTAATTATACTGAGAACTATACCTGTGCACAAACCACCTTGTTGGGAAATCAGCATGCAATTGCAGGAAGTCCAGAAATAAATAGATTGTTACTTCATCCTGCAAAATGGTAGATTCCTGCCAAATGGGCTGTGGTTTCCTGCATGAACTTGGAACATGGCAGTGACACAAATGTGAAGGTTTTGTGTCCTTTTTGCAGAAAGGCTGCTTTCTCACCTGGAGGGAAGGAATGACAAGCAGGAAACGTTCTTGATAGATACCAAGTCTATACTGAACAGTCTGCATTGAATTTTTTTTTTTTTAAATGTACCCTTAGTCATGGAAGCTTCCACCAGGAGGATGTCTGTCTGCTCATGTCTCAGTGGCTGAACTATATTGTACATTTTACTATGGTACTCGTGGATATTAAAGTGCCTGTTTAGGATAATAGTTTTCATTGCTGGTGTTAGTGCTTAAAGATTAAAGTTGTCTAAAAGGGTGTGTTGAAAGTGCCTATGCAAAATGGATGCTTACTTTCACTTGGTTACTCAAATTCACATTATGTATTATTAAGACTTGTATATTAATATGAAATGATGAAAACCATAAAATCTTCAGTTCACTGAAGTTTGGAAACCTAGAGATATCATTTTACTGGAATGTTTTCCAGCCTTTGGAACAGGGTTACACATCTGTGTGCACAGCTGCCTACATGTCATACTCTGGCTTCCATTCTGATGTGCTCTTCAGTACCAATATAATGTAGTTCGTTTTATAATAATTTATCTTCTTGTTTTGTTTTGTTTTTTCTTTAAACTGGTTGAATTACCAGAACACATTATTATGGCTTTCATTTAATTCATTGTTTCAAACTTCAGCCTATAAATTATTCGTAGAAAGGCTTTTCTGTGAGTATTTGTAAACCAAATATAATGAATTCAGTTCTAGAAAGGAAGGGGTTGGAGGAGATAGGTGTTAAATCTAATTTGCTTTAAAGCTTTAGATTGCTGTGGTCCTTGGAGTGCTTTTAAGAATCTTAAAGGTCTGTGGTGCAACAGAAATCCCAGTGGGTAAAAGCACCACTCAGAATACCTGCTGCAGTGTTGCCCTTGCTATCAAAACAGCATGATGAGTCAATGAGTAACTGGGATGTTGGTTTTGGAGATCTGCCATTTTAAAGAGGATGTTAGGTGTAAATAGTTTAAGAAAGAATTCAGATTTTTCATACACAGTTGCCTATCAATAATGGTAAAAAAAGAGGAGTGTATGCTATGATATAGAATGGTATGGAGGTAAATGTTCGCAGCAAGGCTTTAAATGGCTCTGCCAGTCCATAACACAGCATAGTTTGTGTAGTGGGCTTTGTAATAATTTCTGATGAGATTTTTACCATCTCCTTACAAACATGGCATATTATGGGAACTCCCTCCGTCTTACCTGGAACTGTTAGGATTCTTTTACCCACTGGAAGAAGCTTCACAGATATACCTAGTAACTGTGATTGTTATAGCTGCTGTTCCTGCTAGATGATGCTTAGGAGGGAAGAGTGAAGAGTCATGGGGTAATGAATCCCCTGGAGGTAGGGAGCTTGCATGTATTTAACAGATATGCCAGATAAAAGGATTTTCAAAAGTAAACCTTTACCACTGATTACCACAGGATATCCTCAGGTACAGATATTAAAGATTTCAAACATTTTCCTGTGCCATTCTTATTGATGGCATAGTCAGAAACTTTGTTAAATTATCAAAATACTTTGTGCGACAACTCTGGTAGGATCTCTGGTAAACTTTCACTATATCAAACAGTCTTTCTAAGTCATACAGACATTGTACAACATGAGTGAGAACTTGAAGCTTGTTCTGCTCATTGCTTGAGTGCACAGAGCAAGTATACAGCTGACAGGATTAAATCTGTATTACAACTGAAATGATTTTTTTCTTAGAAAACCCTTCATATATATACAGTTTTCTTTTTACACATCTGTTGGAAACCTGTTGGTGGGGATTGAAGTAAGTACCTTCACATACCTAATATGCAACTTTTTTAGTTTTTTTTGTTTGTTTTATATTACATAGAATATTTTTAACA